CTTGTGCATGAGAAGAGTGCCTCCTGGTGGATGATGGCAGAACTACAACTGGAGTGGGCTGAACAGAAGTGCTGCCAAAATGTGCCAAATGAAAGAATAGTAGTGTCAGCTAATTGCAGTGTTTCAGCATCAGTACTAGTGAGCTTGTTTGATTTAAGTTCCAGCTCAGTGTATTTTCCTAATTTGGTCATTCAAAAATGCTTGACAATTGCTCTAGTGATCGTGAAGGTGAAATATTTACCAACATTCATGAGGTAGATTCTGTTAGTGTTTGACAATGCAGATATGCTCGCCTTGCAGACAAGACAGCACTTTCATATCATCACAATTATTTTTTCGTTCTTGTCACATGATGCATTTTTCTGTCTAATGTAAAAGTGAAAGAAAAGGTGACACTGCTACTGCTACTTGATATTCGTAGGTGTTGGCGAGCATGTTCCTATTTGACCAGGAGGGTCTGGAGCTGATTGGGAGACAAGCTAGAGGTCTTTAATTACGCGCCTGTCTTTTGGCTTCAGGCATCACTGGCCCCACTTCACAATTAAGACCAATGTGTGTAGCCAATAGACACAGACAGAGCAGGGAAGAAAAGGAAGTTTCAAATCAACAACAAAGAAAAATGTAAGCCTCTTTCTCCAGTAATGTAGATGGGAATGCTTTAATTTGTTTTAACTGGGCCATGCATTTAAATTGACACATATGCACAAGTTTGTATTTTTCCAGCCAGAGGAGAGGTAATTTACTCTCATACATTTACTTGAAGAATTGCGTATCATCACTTTTTCCTACACTGTCTATTGTCAGTGTTAGATATAATGGAAGTGTGTTTTTTACTGTTCTAACCAATAGCTTAGTAACTGGTAATAAAGAAATACTTGTTTCATAAGCAGCTACTGTGTGTTTCCTAAATTGTTTGATAATAAGTATGGCCAACTTATTTAAATTACAAATGACACTTGGTTGATTTGATTGGTCGATCTACTACTACTATATTGGAATACTTAGAATTGGAAGGTCACTCTTTCTTACTTTACTTCCCCCTCAATCATGATAAACTGTTGATATATGATCGGATGCAGTTTTTCCCAAACCCTCATATGTGACTAGGTCTGTACGTCCTCCAGTGCCGTAATGGCCACTGCACTGGTAATGTGTTTGGACAGATGGGCGAGGCAAGTGCTGATGCGGTGCTTAACTACGCGTTTTACAGCTAAACTATTAAAGAGTTGTGCTGTTTACACACCAGCATTTGAATACCTGTCTTCAGGCCAGTTTAATTATCCCAGCCCTTCTGTTATTCCCGCCGCTTTGTTGTCTCTGAGCTTTGCACCAGGCATGAGAGATTTGTTTGCAGCTTCATTAAGATATGGTTCTGGTAGCGGTTTGCAGGGTGCGAAAAAATTTGTTTGTGCTCAAGTATCTTGGCTCTATTCTCCCCTGCAATGCACCCCCCATACGTATAGATAATGCGTGCATCCATTTTCTTATAATGCCATTTAAAGTCAGAAAATTAAAGAAATGTCCTGTGATGCCTGCACTTTGAAATCTCTCAGGGCTTTAGGGAAAATGGGCGGAGACACAGAACGCACTCGTGGCCCCGCGATTCATTGGTAGACCTTTGATTAGTTTATGAGCACTGAGAGGGGAAAGGGTTTGCATTATAATGTGTTTTATGGATTCCTTCATATGTTCATCCTCAATGGCATGTTCAAATGGAGCATTAATCAAAGAAAGTGCAGGCCGAGGGCATTTAGCCAGCTGAGCCGGAGTTGTGGGCCGAACTGAGCTGCTGTGGATGTAGAAGCAGTGGTTTTTAATTATCTGGACCACGTACAGGATGCCGTTTTTGATTGTTTTAATGAGGCAGCTGGCCTATTGTCTCCCCTTAATTCCTCCATTGTTTTTAGAATATGTCATAGTTCTTTATTCTTTTATCAGGTGCTCTGCAGGAGGATTTAGACAATAGCCTTCATTCCAACTGCATTGGCCACTGCACAAAGGCGTTTCACTGCAGACAGTTAGCAGGCAAACAAGTGCAAATCACCAGCACCCATTTGCAGCCTTTCTTCCAGTTTTCCGACTTGTGCTTTGGCCTTTGGCTCCAACATTTGACCCTCACTTGACACCTGTATCTGCAAAAATGTTTCTACCGTCTGGGGGGAAGGGAAAACGAAAGAAACATATAGACTTGTGCAAAGTGGTTATGGCTTCAACTCTTCCCAAAGATCCACCTTCAAACACAATGTGGCACAGTGGCCAGCACTCGTGCTTTACAGCAGGTCCCTGGTTCGACCCTGTGTGAAGTTTGCATGTTCTCCCTGTGTCTGCATAGGTTTCTCCCAGTTTCTTCTACCGCTAAAAACATGTACAATTGTTCAGGGTGAAGGAGTGTGGTGGATAGTGTAGTCAAATAAATAAAACATTAAATTAAAGGAAATACAAAAGAAATGATATCTGATTAGCAGCTCGTGTGTGCACGTTTATGACTCTGCTTGAAAGACAGAAATAGAGCACAAACTACAGCTAAGTGGTTTGTGCACCATTCCACGCAGTGATCCAGTCGGAGGGCCGGTTAAATGCAGTTGTTTTAATCAGTGTGTAAGTAAAGGGCATCCTAGAGTCTAATTCCCATGTTTTTACGCATTCAGAATTGAATTGTTTGATTCAAAAAGCCTACAGTCATTCTCAGGAGTTTCTTTCCTCCAATCGGGTTAAAAGGTCAATTAATATAGGACACTTCTGCCCTGCTCTCTGCAGAGGAGTGCAAAAGAGCAGCAAGATATTATTCCTAAAAAATCCTGAATCCAGAACCAGTCAGATTGCCTCCATTATTTTCAAGGAGGTCTAGCACCATAGATGTTTTAGTTTTGGCACAAACTAACTAATAATAATAGTGATAATAATAATAATGCATCGGTTTTATATAGTGCTTTTCAGGACACTCAAAGGCGCTTCACATGACTTTCACTCCATACACGGTGGTAATTAACTAACGAACTAACATCACGGATCATAATACCTCTCTCCTCCTAGCAGGGCATAGAGGCTACCAGAATTCCATTTAAATGCTTAGTGCTGCTTTGAAAAAAGTGGGACACGAGATCCTTATTATTCTAACTCGTGCACACAACAGATGGATGTGTAGCTGTCCTAGCTGAAGGCATGTGTATTCAATGCTTTCAAAAAAAATGCAATAAGAACTTTTCATTCAGCTACATAATCTACTTCATTTCGGCTGAGTAGAGGATTCCACTCTTTTGATCTAGATTGATCCAAAAACATTGGAGCCTATCTTATCATCGCTGTCAGTTCATAATTCTCTTTGTAAGCCGAGTGCTTCTGAACTAAGAGCTTCTTCACACAGAGGAGTGAAACTTTTTTGTGGCTAAGACTGCGATACATCCCCTGCCATTGTCGTGTGGCAGTTTGTATCTACCTTGATGGTAACTTGAGCAGACAGTGTAGAGGAGTTTTGTTATTTTAATTAGGAGATAAAAATTCAAAGGGGCTCTCCAGGCAGTGTGTGGTATGACAGAATCCGAAAGATGAAGTGCAGCAGGCCTGAAGTGTACGTGCCGCTACAGCAGATTGTCCAACAGATAAGGGCTGCTCTATAAAGTGACAATAACGTGCACACTCTGAGCCACACACACACACAAATGACTATTCAGAAATGCACCAGATCCATTCACCGCTTTTGAAATGTTTGCGTTCATTTCAATCAGTTGCTAGTATGTCCTATTCCGAATATGTTCTTGTTTTACTCGAACTTGGAGAAAATACTTAATTATCTGCATATGCTTTTGAAGAGAAGAGTCTCCAAACATGAGAAATATATTTGGATTAAAGGTCTATTTTGACAGTGTTATATGTTATATTATATTTTGCTGCAATTATGTTAAAAACTGAACTTCTGATTATCTGAAGGTTGAAGCAGAAAACCAAATATCTATTGGCGCCATGGCAGATGCGAAGAGAGCCCCTGTTTTATCTGATATGAAACTATTTGCATACGGCAAAAAATGTGGTTATGACGTTTACATAAAATAAAACATGTCTTCTGCTGTGACCCGATCCCAGATGGGCCAAATATGGATGATTGCGATAGCTGCTGTCATTGAGCAGTCCTAGTAAACTTGAAATTAAAGAGATGTGAGGCGAATATGATTTGGTGCCCGAGCTGAACTGGTTAAATCCTGGTGAGTTGAGGTTGTGTGTAAACAGGGTAATCAGTGTTGCACACGTGTGGTGTTCTCTCCTCCCGTCAGCCTCTGCAGCTCTCCTCAGAACTCTTTGTCTCACACCAGCAAGGGCGCACATCACATGTCCCCTCTCAGCCTGACACTCCGTCGGTATGTTTGCACATCTTTGAGAGCCAACAGCGTGCTTTAATTAATTGTCCAGCTTTCCTCAGAAACAATGTCCTAATTCTGCCATTTAGGGGGAGCGTATCATAGTTTGTTGTTATCTCCTCAGCCAGATTTCTGTAAATAGTCATATTAAAAACTTTAATCTCTTCAATGGAAAATGAAGTGCAGCTGAAAAGCCTGTCATGTGCAGAGATAAATATTATCTAAAGCTAAAACCTTCACTCTCTGTCTCTCCCCCTCCATCCTCACAGCCACCCCGCTCTCTCACTTAATGAATATGTTCAGAAGATTTCAGAGCAATGCTTAATCCCAAAACATAACAATCTAATGGTACGGTGGACCTGTACACCAGATGACAATGGGGCTGCTTATCGAATGTGTTTTCAATGTCAAACTGTGGTAAAATGTAGTCTAGGTATCGTAGGGTTTGAATAATAATTATAAAAAATATAAAGAATTGTCTTTTCCTTCTGATTTTCTTTTTCTGTTCTACCTGAAAACATTTGAAAACATAAGCACATGCAATATATACTTACTAGAGCCGCAGCCATCATTGGTTGGACATTGTCTACCATACCTTAAGGTCTTGCATCATTAAATATCTCTTTTTTTTAATCGCTTTTTTTCCAGGTGGCCAGCTGTGGTGCACCACCACTAAGAACATGATGGAGGGCGAGGAGCTGGTGGCCTTTGCAGTGGACTTTGACTCCCGTCTGCAGGCGGTGAACCACATGTCTCTGAGTGAGGGCATGTACCCAGCCCGACTCTTGGACAGTATCCAGCTCCTGCCGCAGCAGGCTGCCATGGCCTCCATCCTGCCCACTGCCATCGTCAACAGTAAGTGTCCACATAGCAGCATGCACATTGCTGGAAGCAGGCAAGCTTTTGTTTTGGGGACACACAATCTCTCTTGTCTCTTTCCACACACACACAGACACAGCCTGCACTCAGTCACCTGCTTAACAAGAAACACAGTCTCCGCCGGGCCTAGATTAACCAAGATGAGTCTCTGTGCAGAAGATAAAGAGTTATCGACCTTCAAGTTTTGGGTTCACACAAACAGATTGAGGCTCGAGCTAACATGTTAATGAACGAATACACGCCTCATGCAAATAACGTGTTTGCTTAGCCAGGGCTATCAGGGTTCAGCTCAACAGGGAGGCTTCTGTAAGCAGATGGTCCAGTGTTCTTGTTTGCCCTTGAGAAAGGGCACCAACCCAGTGGTAGCAACTGCGATATGCAGGAGCTGAGGATTTGGAGGGAAAGCCTTTTAACATAAGCTTTGAGTCAGAAGTAGGAAGTGTTGATGCGCATGTCCATGTGTGTTTTTATCTCTATGTGTGAATATGAAAGGAAGGGATACATTCTGATAACAGCGATGTCCTCTTCTGTGCTCCCTCAGAGGACATCTTCCCCTGTAAAGCCTGTGGAATCTGGTTTCGGAGTGAGAGGAACTTACAAGCCCATCTGATGTACTACTGTAGCGGGCGACAGAGAGAGCCTGAGACGGTGGTGGAGGACAGTGACACTGGGCCACACCAGACCCCCAGCGCCTGTCCTTTTCCTCAGTGCACCAAGAGCTTCTCTGGAGCTCGTGCCCTGGAAATGCACTTGAGCACTGCACACACCGGTGAGTCGACCTGAAAAAATGTATACCCTTCATATTTGTGCATGCGACATGTTGTAAGATGCTGTGTGAAGCTACACTTACGTTTGAATGCTATTGTCAGATTCCACAGACATATTTACGTCAGCAAATATACCAGACAGTTTCTCATGGATGGAAAACTTGGCATAATGCATGAGCATGTGATTTTTTGACAGCTCACTGTAAAGCAGAAGTGGGAGGCAAGATTCTGAGCATTTCTCCCTTTTATCTTCTTCACAGGTGTCAAAATGGAAGAGAGCCTCCCTCCTGGCACCAGCTTGAAATGCACAATCTGTAACTACACGGCAGATTCTCTTATTACATTCCAGCATCACATCATGTCTCACCTGTCACAGGCGGCCTTCAGATGCAATCACTGCCATATCAGCTTCCAGAGCCACAGGGAACTCTTACAGCATCAGGACTTACACGGGCATGGCAGCAAACTTCACAGAGAAGGAGATGGTACTGAGCTCTCCCCCAGGGGGCCGGAGGAGAGCCTGCAGCAGGCCCGTGCAGATCTGAACAGGAAGGACGCTCTGCTAGGAAGTCCCAAAGGGGGCCTCAACAAGGAGGCCAGCACCGACGGGGAGACGGACAAAGCTGAGAAGAAACCTATGCTCTCTGCTCAGAAGGGAGAGGCCCACCCTGGCAGCAAGGCCAGTTTTTCTTACACTCGGATTAAATCTGAGCCCTCCAGCCCCCGCTTGGCCTCCTCCCCTGTGCAGCATAACATGCCTACATTTCCCATGGGTCCTTTCTTGTCTCAGTTTGCTTTCTCTCAAGACATTTCAGTTGTCCCACAGGCTTCAGAAATTCTGGCAAAAATGTCAGAGTTAGTTCACCGGAGGCTACGCCATGGCGGGAACAGCTACCCCCCTGTCATCTATAGCCCTCTTATGCCCAAAGGGGCCACCTGTTTCGAATGCAATATCACTTTCAGTAACCTGGACAACTATTTGGTTCACAAAAAGCACTACTGTAACACCCGCTGGCAGCACATGACAAAGTCTCCGGACTTTTCTGCCTTGTCTGATAAGATCCCTGAGGCTGTGAGCCCCAACAGTGGACACAGTTCTGTTGGCATGTTAGCAGGCTGCCACCCAACCGAAGCTGACAGCCATCTGATGCAGTCTGCATGTCTAAACACCAATGTCCTGGACATGATCAATGCAGGGAAAGGAGTGGATAAGGATCTAGCTGGACAAGTGAAGAAGGTCTCCACTCCGACAGGGACAGAGGACAGGCTCAATGGGAAACCATTGGAGGGAAAAAGCCCAACTACAGGTTTGGTGGAAAGTGACAATGACCCAAACAAGACCACGTGTGAAGCCTGCAATATCACTTTCAGTCGTCATGAGACCTTCATGGTCCATAAGCAGTACTACTGTGCCACACGTCATGATCCCCCCATGAAACGCATGTCTGCTAACAAGGTTCCATCAATGCAGAGGACCATGAGAACGCGCAAACGCCGAAAAATGTATGAGATGTGTCTCCCTGATCAGGAGCACACAAGGCCTCCATTAGGACAACCAGGTTTCCTGGGGGTTCCTCCAATTAACCCTTGTACGTCCCAAGATGCAGTAGACAACATCACAGACCGGTTTCACCCACGCTGTGACCTGTTCACCAGCATGGTCCCCAAACATCTGGAGGCCTCTCTGACTGTCACTAAACCTATTCTTTCTGTCAAAAGCAGTACAACAGAGCAGCAGGAAATAGATGCTCCAATTGATCTGAGCAAAAAGTGTTCGCCAGGTTCTGATAAAACATGCATCTCCCCAAAAAGACTCTTGGACTATCATGAATGTGCAGTTTGCAAGATAAGTTTTAACAAAGTGGAAAACTACCTGGCGCACAAACAAAACTTCTGTCCTGCTGGAGCTCAGCCACAACCGCTACAGCCACAGGCGCACAATGAGACAGGCAGCCTTGACACAACTTTATTTCCAGATGTAAAGAGTGAATCCACAAACAATCCTGATGAAACATTTGATAAGAGCCCAGGCAAATGTGAGAAGAATGGCAATGGAAAGGTGCTGGTGCAGAATGGAGGCATGTTCCCCCCTCACTTGGGACCTGTCCCGGGACTCAAGCCTTTTGCTGAGCCACAGCTCATTCCTTCAAAGGATGAGAAGAATGTTTTTCTGCCCCACTGCCTTTATCCTGGAGCAATAAAAAAAGCTAAAGGTCCGGAGCAAATATCCCCTTATTTTGGAATAAAGCCCACTGACTATGGGTCTGCAGGGGGAGCAGGGCAGGCTGAGCTCATGGAGCAGGAGCAGAGTGTGAACGGGGGCGGTGCTACAGTTGGAGGGGACACAGGAACAACCCCGCAACAACCTGCCACCAACGGCTGCCCCCACCCTGGCAAAGAGCCCCTTCCTCTTACGCCCAAAAACCGCAGCATGGTCATTGTCAACGGGGGACACAAGCCAGAGGACTGTACAGACAACACTCCTCCACAGCAGGAGAACCAGCCTCAGCCTGAGGGCCAGCCCCCCAGTGCCTCTCCCACGTGGGCGAGTGAGAACCAGAGCGACACCAACGAGAACATGTCCCCCTCCGCCAAGTCCCCGCGTGAGGAGGCAGCGCCGGCCGTTAATAAAGGCGTTAATGGAGCTGGGAGTGGAAAGTACTGCCGCCTCTGTGACATCCAGTTCAACAATCTGTCAAACTTTATAACTCATAAGAAGTTTTACTGTTCCTCACATGCGGCAGAGCATGTAAAATAAGTGCAGAAGAATACGAACTCTTACTCTCCTTTCCCCAAATATTCCCCTGAACTTTGACTCTTATCCCTCCTTGTTTTGGTACACTGTTGTGTCTGAAATAGTGCATCATGCAGTGCTATCTGCTGCTTGTGGACAATCAAGAGAAGCTTCTTCTTTCATTGTTTTAAAATTTAAACATGCAAAATCATTGGTTAAAAAAAGAAAGAAAAACAAATCAAGAATAATATTGGTGCCACTTTTACATTAATTTATTTTACAATCAGTATTAATAGGAGTAGTGATCTTAATTTAAATTCCAAATGAAATTTATATCAGAGTTGTTTGTAATGTTATTGTATAGTCATTCTTGTGTAGCACACATATTGTTTACACTGTATTGTAGGCTCAATGAAATAATAGACTACAAAATGAGATGAATTTTAGACACAAAATAGCTACTGAGGCACTGTATTCTTTTTGCTGAACCACTTTCTGTATATGCCCAAAACATCACTTGCAGACGGCTAATGACATGTTCCTGACATGTCGTGACGACATGCCATGACGTGGGCCTTCGATGTCACAGTTCGAGGGAGATTAGTTTCTACACTGCAGACACTTGAGCATATACACATGGCTTTGCATACATCTGTAGCTGTTTGTCCCCGTCTTTTTTTCTTCAACTCAGATGTGGATGTTTTCATGAAGATGGCAGCATTCTTGTATAGTACTTGTATTTCTGTTTGATGATACACTTTGGTGTCCCTTTTTGAATTTTGCTCTTATTGCAATACTTTGTAAATGAGGGAACATTACTGAAAGCAGTATTACGATGGGGACTGTGCATATAATTATTTGTAAACCCCAAAGGGAAAAAAGAATTTAAGTTTATTGCTGGTGGAAGGGTGGGAGGTCAGTGGGGATACTGATGTAAAATGATCATTCCAATGTCCTGACTGTGGGAGAAAATGTTTCTTAAAACGTTGTTGCTATGCATGTATATGAATGGAATTCAATTCCAGATCTGTTGGAAATTTTTATTTTGATGTGGTGTCATAATTAAACTTAAATCCTCAGGATAAACAACACATCTCAACCGTCTTTTTTCTTTATCCTCTGATCTAAAGTGTAAATACATCACCTACTGTGTTCTGACCTCAATGAACCGAATGCAGCCCAGTTATGCTTTACTGTGTGTTAAATCATTAAACATGATTTCTTATGCAATCCAGAATAGGTCTAACTGAGGGATTAAGTTTTTACATATCCAATAATCCACAAAACCTTATCCGTCTATAATGAATAAAAAACAAGGGGCAAATATTGCTCCGACAGATTGTTTTCCATGAACACGTAATAACTCATGAATCAATATTATTTAAAAAAAGGTTTATTTTATAATATTTGACTTGTTGGCAGTTCTGAGTCAGGCACTGAAGCGGTTGGCTTGACGTCGGCTGACTAGTTTCCTCAGGTGCTGGATGATGGCAGATGGCTCCTTGTAGATCATTCGTCGGTCGGCTCCTTTTATGTGAATGTGATTGGCTGATGAGTATGAAACCTCCAGAAACTTCTTTTGAAGCTTAGCTACCATCTGGTGTAGAAAATAGATTGGTTTTAGACCATTATTGCCTCATTCAGATAGAGAAAGCCTGCTAAACTGGACTAGAGCTATACCGCTCACCTGGTTCAGCTGATCTGGTACTTCTCGGTCAAAGTGGTCTCCAGTGATCACACTCACAGGTGTCCTGCTGGAGAGCGGCTTGAACTTGGAAATGTCTCTACAAAAAGGTAATGCAAGAATACACAGAAAATTACATCAGAATCAGTATTTATATATATATAAATATATGTAATAATGAAATAAAAACCTTACTGTACTTGAGCAGCACTTTCATTCATAAAGTAATGCTCATCCACGGCGCTGCTCTGATGGGCGGGGTTACACAGCAGGTATTTCTAAGCAGAAAAACAATTTCTTCATTGAAAAAGAAACTGGCATACATGCACCACATTGACATGTGCTAATACAGGCTGCTTGAGAATTGGCCTCATTCGGAATTTAGTTTTGAGAGGGTGGGATTCAAGGGACTCAAATACAAATTGTGTTTAACACAAAACGAATCAACTGATTTTTATTTTTATTCGTTATATACAGGTTCAAGAACAATCTCTTGAGAATAGGTGTTTCTTTTTCTTTGTTGACTTTTGAAGGGCGTTGGTCTTCCTACATGATCTTAACCTTCTGAGGCCTCTGTCCAAATAACTGTCCTTGGAATGTTCAAGCACAATGATAGCTGCATCTCCTTGGAAACTGTAATGGAAAAGCTGCGCCCAGCATCACTTGTGCCATCACATGTGGGTGGCTGGCAGCAGCAAACAAGGCTGCTCCCTCTTCCAAACAACACCGGATCATATGACCAGATGACTGAATATGGCTCTGATAGTATAGAACAGGACCACCCATTTGGTCTCTCAAATCAGCACATATCAAAGCAGTAACCATCACAGTAACTGTGTTTTTTCTCATCATAAGTGTTTACCTACTTTAGGAAACACATAATAAGGTCAGTTGCTAAGTTGCATAGTTGTTGGTGGTAAATGTGTTGATAATTAAGGGTGTATTCAGTTTGTTGCTTCTTTTGTGGAGTGTGCTCTGACTCACTTTATGCAGGTCACATCTTCTCAGGGTCAGTGACAAAATAGTTATTCTGACCTTATTAACATCTCACTCTACATAACCTAATGCAAATAACTAGATTGTTACTAACCCTTTCCTATTAATTAACTTTTACTTATTAACCCTTAATAACGGGATCTTATTCTTATGTATGCATGTCAGTTCCTATAACTAGCTAATAATGAATTAAGAGACTGATTATGAAGCACAGTGGCACCAGAATAAGTGGTGCTCACGGCTCGCAGCGGCCCGCGTTACTGTGAGCAGGTGATATGTTGCATGTGTCTGGGTGGGTTTAACTTTCCTGCGCTTTCTCTCACCTCCCAAATCATGCACAAAAGGTTAAATCCTCCAGCACTGATGGTCCTGAATCCCCTGACCAAGTCAAGCATCAACAACGACAGCGACCACAACAGGCTTTCAAGGATGGGTCAAATGCATCAGACAAAAAGGATACTTTCTTATGTCTTGATTTCACTCAATTGGTGAATTGTGATTTGTTTATTCATACAGACAATATTTAGATTCATATTTAATGGCAAATTTATAATGGTACGGTTAAGAGAATACAGTTAGCCAAATTCCACTGCAGCTGCATGTTCATTTAACATAATTGTGTTGCCACTTGTCTGTACAACAGTTAGGTACTGTATATGTAGGTTGGAAACTCAGGTTTAACTCTCTTAGATCAAATAAAGGCAGCACTGTGGTCATAATCACTTCTGAGGAAAATAAACATTATCTGCAGTACCCTGTTAAGGACTTTTTTTTCAAAGTGAATGAGTTTTTAAGTGAAACAGAAAAAATTTGGAGCTGAACCAGAGGATTTTTCATATCGATAACAGAAATGCATAAACTGGCCCATAATATCACCCTCATCAACAAACCATTATTATGATAATTGGTGTAAGAAAAAAATACTAATCTAATAAACAGTAACATAACTAATAGGAAAATGCAATGAGCAGCTAGAAGAATGATCAACAAATGATCCACTAACAACTGTTCAAAATAACAGCTGGTCACACCTCAATGGGTAAACGTGAACTTTTTGGAGCATTTTCTACTAAACCAGAATTTATGATGGTTGTGTTATGTCCCATTCCCATTGGACACCACGACAGAGCACAAGCAGCAAACCAAATACGTATTAAAACATAATAGTTTCTCAGTTTAAGAGTTTCATCTTAATCTTAAAAATCACGTGAAAGATTTAGTCTCTGCAAAAAGAAATCATTGCATCTCGATCACAGACTCTGCACTAGCACCACCCTGTGGCTGCGTCACATGAGTTAGACCAATTACAGAGAGAAAAATGGTCTTTAGTTTTTCAAATAAATTAACAAAGTTTGTTTTGAATTCTAATTAATGAGTGCTACAAAGAAAACCTTTATGCTTTTGTGAAAATAAACAGGATGAAGAAAAATCATGCTTCTAATGAAATACAATTTCTCAGTAGAGTCAGTTCAGAAGGATCTGACACGCCTCAGGCATTCTACTGCAGGGTCTACAGTCTACCACCACCATGTAGGCAGTGAATGAATATTTAGTCTATTTATTTATTTATTGGATACAACATTTATATTCAAGGCTAATTTTCCCGTCTCTAGAAGGAATTCTAGGACAATTCAAAATACCTTACAATGTATGACATCCGCATTATACAAGTCAGACATGGCCACAAAATTGGCTTCAGTTTAAAACTGAACAAACTTCAGTTTAAGCTGAGGACTAAGCCCAGGATTGATGTCATGTGAAGCGATTCCACACAAAAAACGTTATATACTGTAAAACCAATGCATTATACGTAGAAAATGTATTTCTAGCATTTACTAAACACATGTATGAGAGATGTGGCTCTGACCTGCAGTTGGGTGACCTCCTCAGACACGTCTGGCCCTGTCACAGTTGGTTCTAAAATCCCCAGGATGATCAGCATTCGGCTCAGGCCTGTAGCTGCGGAGAACTGCTTGGCTTGGAGCGACGGCAACAGCTTCCCATACCTCAATAAACACAAACAGACAAAATTACAAAACTCATTAAACTTTGGCAATGGGCACTTCAGACTTGAAACCATATGGCAATTAGATTAGCCATATACCCTTGATAATAAAACAAGATTATAGAGACACTCCAATTATTTAGTGATGCAATATTAGCGGAAATTAAGTTGGACCAAAGCTACCAGGCCAGCTCGTCTAATTCTCTGAATAGACTCAAAATGACTTTATAGCTCTAGAACTATTACAATGTTACATGTTTCCTATTTTAGTCCCAGAAAAGTGCCACCTGTTACTGCTGGAAGGAGAATCTGTGACAGTTTGTGTGCAGAAAACACATTACCACAGTGCCATAAGTGAGTTGACACATTCAAACTTGTCACTTTCAGTTTCAGTAAAGTGAAAGGTTATGGCCTTGTGGCGCACTGGAGTTTTTGCTTGTCACAAACTTGGATGTCATTTTTTAACACATTTCAACCCAGACGACCTTTTCATAATTTACTATTTCAGTGTATTCGGCCAATATCTAGCAAGCATTTCGGTTTTCAGCCTGCAAAAGAATCAACATTGTAGTTATTTTTTATTTGTCTTTTTAACTACTGACCAAATAGATAAAAAACTACTAATAAATAAATAAATTATATTCAGCGGTAAGGGCCTTTAGTTTATTTCACACATATTGTTAAGGTTCCCACACTGAACAGTTTGAGAAGAGGCAAAACTACTTGAATGGACATTTTATCAACTTTAATTTAAAACATACAATCTGAAAGTTTCTCCCCTGGAAACATTTGCCTTGGAAATGAGAAATGCTGCCTTTTTTTGGCAGATGACAGCGGAAGAGCAGTGGGATTTTGTAACTCAGGAGGCCCAATCGGTCTCGGCTCACTGATGCTCTGAATTGCCTGGTCTCAGCCTGTGGAGCCCAATCAATAGTGCGCTGCGGCTCCGTCATGATGATGTAGCGCTGTCCTCCTCAACACGCTGTAGATCTGCGTCAGACAGAGACTCCTGCGCTCTTACTGCTGATCTGAGACAGAGCGAGACACTGAAGACTGACGAAAACACCACTTATTCACTGTGCTCACAATCTCTACTGAGTCCAATACATCATGATATGAAGAGTGGTGTTGGTATGAGTAAACAGCCAGGATAAGACTAACAGCGACAATTGGTATGATGTCATGACTATAAATGTACAGAAAAACACCTGGAAAGTCACTTCCCACCACACAATTGGCCCAAGTAAGAAACTCACATAATTAAAATGATCTATGTACAGAGCAGGGATGCCAGGGTGAAAGCGGACAGGAGTCTGGATTACACAATCAGACTGAAAAGACCCAAATCACTCATCAAATTGCAAGAATTAAAACACGCACATTTCAAAATTGTATGTATTAAGTTACAGCGGGGAAAGCTGTTACCTTGGCCTGTGTTTAATTTTAACAATTTAATACATTGCTGCTTATATACAGGACAAGTCAAATGGATGGTATGGCACAGACGAACAGTATCATGTAAAATCAATAAATACTGCATGTCATAAGTGGAAGTAGACATGGATTTAGTGCAGCATTAAAACATGAGGAATGCTGTCCTATAATTTGGGACAGACAGAGTTGACCCTTGCATTAGTCGCATTATTGTGTGACAGTGGCTGAGCGGATAGAACTCTCGCTTCTCAGGTCCTAGGTTCAAATCCCAGTCGGAACAGGGTATTTCTGAGTGGAGTTTACATGCTCTCCCTGTGTCTGCGTAGGTTTCCTCCGGGTGCTCCGGTGTCCACTACCACTATAAATATGCACAATATGTACAAATGTAAGGAGTGAGTGAGCGGAAGGTGTTTCGCTCCTGTGGAGTGATTGGAACAAAATCTGAACCTTGTAAAGCATTTTGGGTGGCGTTATATAAATAAAGATTACTTCAATGGGCATAAATCACTAAATCACAAACAGGAAGGTAACCACAGCAACTACTCAAATTTCTCCTCCCACTGTTTTAAGATACAGGCCTATCTATAAGATACGCTTCAAAAGTGTAAATATATATATATATATATATATATTTTTTTTTTACATGAAATTCACAATCCTAATCTAATTGGTTTTAGCCTCATACAAATCATGAGGCCCGTATTACCGTTCCAAATACATTTTGTTTTGAATTGCTAATCACAACAGTAAGTAATATTTTATGTCTATAGCGCTTTTTATAGACACAGAGTCAGTAAAAAGCACTTTACAATTGTTGCGGGCATATTTCCCTCGCACTCCACACAGAAGGCACATTATGACAGTCCTCAATTTTCCTTAGACTACATACAGTAGGGGACATGGTGGCTGAGTGGGATGAGGACGCATGGTTCACAGAAAGAAGGTTGTGGGTTCAATCTTGTGTTGGCCCGGGCCTTCGAGTCTAGTTTCTATGTTTCTCCCTGTGCCTGGGTGGGTGTTCTTCAGGCGCTCCGGTTTTCCCCCACCACACAAAACATACACTATAGCTAAAATCCTCACAATGACACAAGTAATGATCAAGCCAAGATGGGTCCCTGGGCACTGCATACTAGTACATCTATAAAATAACTTGTCTGTTGTCCATATCGCGTTTCAATCCTTAGAATTGCAGCTCGACACATCAGCTTCAGTTTTGATGTTTTGATTGAAAGGCTAAAGGTCAATAGAAAGTGCAGATACAGGGTGTTTTCTGATACAGATTGCAGTGTATACATGTAATATATAAATCAGATGCAAGTGATATAATAATAATATAATAATATTATAATATAATAATATAATAATATAATAATAGCCTACACAGAGACACACGCACGCACAGGACAAGACACCAGAGTCATTGAGCCGTGAAAGCCTCAGTCAGTCAGACCCAGGAATGACATTTTGACATTTTCATCTTCTTGCCACAGTCTCCTCGGCACTGAAAACGACTTCTATAGCAGATTCTTTCTTTCCCCATGTCAAACTCTTATGGCTTGATTCCAAAAAGACTGCAATACAAACACAAATAAATAAACTTTACCCTTATCTGTCCGCCAGTTTGAATCTGGTCAAATCACTCCTAGGTCTGGCACTGAACATTATTTCAAGGATTCTCCAGCCACCTGTCCTATTCCCTTTTTCCATTTTTAATTCTGCCCCGGAGTGAGGATTATGCGAAGCAAGGCATGCGTGTCAAAGGGAAATTTAGTGGGTAAAGACAGCCCAGATTGGCGGGGATGAATTAAACAGATAACAGAAAGAGACGAAGGTGTGTGTGTGTGTATGTGTGTGTGAGGGTGGGAGGGGGGCATGAAGCAAAATGCCTCGCCGATGTTGGTCATTTCGGAACGTTTTTTTTTTTTTCTCTCCCCACAGGAGCGCCCAGGCAATATCTAAATTAATAAAGTGATGAAATGAGTTTGTGCCATGGACTTTCTGCTGTTTGACTTTCCCATCTGGATTAGTGCAGGCTGAATGGACGCTCTGTTACTTTTGTTACAACTGCGCAATTCACTGTCGGAATTTGGCCCGGCAGTGATAAGACTTCCTCCGCCCTCCCTCCTCATTTCCATGTCATTCCACATGCAGGGCCGCAGTTACCTGAGAGGCCGTTCACACATAAAGCCGCCGCCATTACACAAGCTCCTGTCGACTATTACAAGGAGACGCTTAAACACTGGATATTACATGTGGCTCACCTAACTCTTACAGCAGCTTTTAAAGACGTGTTCAAGCAGAAGCCAGCTGGAAGCACAGAACAGGATCTGGGGGTGTGGTGGGGTGGGGTGTAATTGTCTGAATGGTTCTTATTCAGAAGCAATACAGGATGGATCAGTTTTTTGTTTGTTTTTAATATAGGCTCCCTTTGAACAAGTGACAAGTGTGGTGATGTACGATTCACACATGATCGCTGTCAAGTCTGAAGTCAACAGGTATTTTCCAATAAAAAAATCCATCTGCAACACAAGAAAGTTGCAGTGTTGTATTTGTACAAGGGGTGTGCTAAGAAAACAAAATTATTATTATTTTTATTACATACTGTACAATATTTATAAAAATTTGTTTGCAATTCTTTCAAATTGAATTTATCTATTGGAAAATCATGTATAGTGTTCTGATATATATTTTTTTATAATTTCATGAAAATATAGATGCGTCAATTGTAAAGATTTAGATTAAAATGTGATAGAACACTATATAAGGAGCCAAAATCCTTTATTTTTTATCAAATCATATTGTACCCTATATCTAGATACATATTATATCTAGATAGTATTATATCATGTCATAACTGTACGTAACTGTACGCATCTGTTGTAAAGTACCAGATATTTCAGTTAAACTGTACACACTACCTCATGAGGCAAGTTTAAAGTGAGTTGTTTCAACCCACCAGCCATTGTTGCTCAGTGTGTTAGAACAAGGAGACCCAGGATTTTTTGATTAAAAAAGTGTTTTTGTCCATTAGGAATTTCATACCTTGTTCTGTCGATCTGCATCATAATAAATTGAACTGAAATCAAAGGTTATTAAAAAAGGTTATTTTATTGACATTTTTAAAATATTGTTTATAATGTGTGGATAGTTCTGTCATCCTGAACAAAAGTATCATCTCCAAACATGTTTTGGAATCTATAGCCTGAAATCCATGTAATGCACTCTAGTACCTCAAGATGTCACTCTTGCACCACAGCTGCAGAAATGTCTTCTGCTGAAAATTCTCTCTGGTTGAGCCCCAGAGTAATCTATAGTATAGATTACACTGGGGTAAACACACTGGGCCCTGCTTCATTAGCAGAGCCGTGTGTACAGCTATAGTTACGCTTACATTGGTTCTAATTACAATTAATTGGCATTCCTGACTGGTGCAAAGTTCTCTGAATGAGAGGAACGATGGGAAAGAGAGGGAGCTGAATCAGGGAGAATTGAGGTGAGACTATAGAGACTTTAAGAAATGCATCCTATTAGAATATAGGGAAGTAGACTATAGATTGTATTTTTTTTAATACATTGATATTTTGACAAATTTGATATATTTGATATAATTAATATATATGTTTGTTTGCAGTATATGGTGTATATGGTGATACAATACACTCTTTGTATATAGTAAATTGTTGCAGCCCTAGTTTCAAGGCTTTTGACATTTTCTACTTTCATCTTAATGTGTCACCATGTTTCCATTGCAAGTGTAAGCTCTGTAAAAATCCTCACCAACCAATAACAGCATGGATGGATAAAATACTCTTGTCCCATGTGTTAAGCCTTGACCATCTTATAAATCAAGCTAAAAGCAGTGTGTGTGTGTGTGTGTGTGTGTGTGTGTGTGTGTGTGTGTGTGTGTGTGCGTGCGTGTGTGTGTGCGAGTGAGTGTGCGTGTGCTGTGTGCGAGTGTGTGTTTGTGTGTCAGCGGTCGTCAGGCGTATGCTAAATGTCAGACAGAACAGGAGGCAGGTGGGACCTGAACCAGGACTATCTGCTCCACAGAGAGCACCTGTGCTGTGCACTGATACAGTGTGTGTACGCGAGGGCATGTGGAGGCTCCGTGGGCTTATTAATGACGGACGGGATGATGAATGGGGTGCCAGGTGTCATTTTAATTTTGAGCCTCATAACTCAATCAAGTATCCACCCAGGACCTGGTTTCTCAGATGTGCAGCCCACTCTGAAGTCAATAACTTCAGCAGCTTTTGGCAGGTATTATTCATTCATTTAATTAATCTAAAATAATTGATAAATATATCTAACATAAATAACGATTGCAAACAAATTGTGAATTCAATTGTATGAATACAATTATTGAATGGAATAAACAAATATTTTACCACCACTGCCATTAGGGGAAAGAAGAAACGCGTGGGGTTTGGTAGTTTTGGTAGTTTTCGAAAAGTCAAGGGATGAAATCTTCTGAAAACCTCTGTGACGGCACAATGAACAAGTGATTATTCAGAGTTCCTGTCTGGATGCAGGAATATTTTATATGGGATACGTTTCCGTATTCTCTCCCTGGGCCGTCTTTAAAGCGGGCTAGAGAGCAGACATACATGTAAAGGAAAGTGCACAATTATTTCAGTGAAAACGCTTTGCACCTGCTTTGTGAGAGGGACTATGGGCTTTTTAACTCAAGTCCAACAAGTCATCAAAGTTTTCATCCCAGCACTGTGAAAATACAAGCAGCCCTATGGACAGTAGAGTCAGGATTGTGTTATTTAATCAAACAAAATGCAACCACAGCAATGTTTAATTTTCTAATTGAATACCCTATAATTTAGTTTTACCAGAGGCCAAACACAAGTCTATCCTCTAGAGCAGAAGGAATCAGCACCTTACTAAAACTGGACAAGAAATAATGTTTACATGATTGACATGTACATATACGTTAGTAGACATTATGTAATCCAATCGAAATCAGAATTTGCTATTTCCTATTTGCAGCTATTCCATAAGATCTCCTTATCTCAAAAAATAGCACAGTTCTTGCTGTGAGGCATAAGCACTACCAACTCCATCGTACACACTTCGACTAACACCAAATACACACAATTGCACTGTCCAACTGCATCTACACAATCAAAAATAAACAATAAAAAAGTCAAATGGAGTCCAGTTTGCACAAAATACTGCGGTTACAAAACAAGAATGTCGATTGAAGGGAAATTCATCTTTGTTTTATGAGCTCTAAAGCAGATGGCACACATTTGTCAAACATTGCCGCTCTTTCTGAAAGCAATTTTCCCAGACTTAAACCAGGGCTTCTGCTAATTCCCTGCAGTATGACCAACCACTTGGATTTCCATCAAAAAACCTTAACCAAAACCAAAGAGGAAATGAGGCGACGATATACAACTATAGGACAAAAGGCCTGCTTTCATTTACACAGAGATTTACACATTAGATATATAATTAGATAGATATATTAGATCACCATGTCCACCCTATCACCGTGGGGTTCGCTGGAGCCACTGTCAGGGACAAGCAGCGACTACAGCGCATCGTGCGCTCTGCAGAGAAGGTGATCGGCCGCAGCCTTCCATCGCTGCAGGACCTGTACGTCGCCCGAGCTCGAGGCCGGGCTGGTCGTATCACAGCCGACCCCTCTCACCCTGCACATGGACTATTCCAACCACTCCCCTCAGGCAGGAGGCTGCGGTCCATCAGGACTAGAACCTCCCGCCATAAGAACAGTTTCTTCCCCTCTGCTGTTGGACTCTTGAACACTTGAACACTTCTTAACCTCCTCGCCCTCTAGAAGTCCCCTACTGCTCTTTATAATGTCACTTTACTGCCCTTTATAAAGTCACTTTACCTCACTGTACTGCTGTCACCTTACATTGTGTGCACCATGTGCACTGTATATTGTATATAGTAATTGTAACTCTATTTAATTTTTATTTTAAATGTATTTCTTAGAAGTGTTTTTTTATTACTTATTTTTTATTCTCTTTCTGACTGTTGCACTGAGCCAAAGCAATTTCCAAGTCTGTGACCTCCTGTTACTTACGTGGCAATAAAAATGATTCTGATTCTGATAAGTGCATTCCACCATTTATCTTTGTGGCTACTACTAAGCAATTAAAGGATTGTTATTTATGTCTAAGAGAACTAGGTTGAATATATTGTAGAATTGAAAAAGGAATAATTCAAAGGTAATTTCTTTTTTGGTGAATTATGAACTAGTCCTGATACTGGAGTGGAATTGTTTTTGTTTTGACTGTTGATTGTATAATAATGCATAAAAATGCATGTATTTTATGTGTATAGTCAGAACTTAGTATATTTTTCCTCTTTATAGAAATATCCGAAAACATATTTACAGAGAGCTTAATTGCCATGTGTATAAAATAGACTTGTGTTAGTGCTAGTTACATGACTGTTTATTAATCAGTGGGTAATTGGACATATCGCACTGATAGATGATGCTGCTGCGCTATGAGTCATGTACAAATTGGCCATTTCCAGGGAATCGTTTCTTATCTGGCGTGAGAGTGTTAGCTTCATAACCTATGAGCTCATGAGGAGGGACAGAATAAAAAAAAAAAAACATAAAATCAAACCACGTAATCTATTTTAGCATACCTTTCTGAACATAATTTTTTATTCTTATTTCTTTTTCCGGAGGACACTACAGGATCAGGGAAGGGCTAAAGATGATGTTTTTGCACTTGTCACAGACAGTATCTCTCCTGGAGGACAGCGCTCGTCCATGTCTGTTATGGGTACATGTTGAACGACTCTTTGAGCTCAGGCTAATGACCTGCACCCAGAACAGATAATAGTCCATGTTCCAATACAAACTAAAGAAGTATATATTTGTCAAAAAGGCACCATTGGTATAATAACATTTCTTAATTAAATTAAAGTTAAAGAAATTAAAGTTTCTATATTTGAAAGTGCGAGTCTCAAAGCACAGACTGGTGTGACTGATTTAGGGGCAAAGATAAATGTATTTGGTCCAATAGCACTGTCCAGATGTAAACTGAACAGAAGTGGTCTTATGTCAAAACATTTTAAAAGGTTAACTTTAATAATAAATCTATCATTGAACATGGTAACTTATCTTAGTGTTTATTGTTTTAAACTCTGGGGCATTAGCCGTTGACAAACCATTAGTCTTATCAAATCTAAGATAATTTGCATCAAATTTAGCTGCTGCTACTTTCAGCCTGCAGACCTATCTCCTTTCTCAAACTCACCAGAACTCTCTCCACAGGAGCTCCTCAAAGATGTCCTCAGGGATGGGATCAATCATGACCAGGTCAGACACTTGCCTGAAGGATAGAGGACACACGCCACAGTTTCAGAAGAAGAAAGACTCATTGACTTGACCAAGGCTCATGGCCAGAGCAGAGTGACAGTTCAGAGGGATGCTTCTAGAGACAAGTGTCCCTGACTCACCACTACTTCATATTCTACTAAGTTGTTCATACTTGGTACAACTGCTTGTAATATGTATCATTGTGTTGAACTTGTGAGATATGACCAGTGGATATGAAATAATATATAATATATAATACATAATATATACAGTGCCTTGCGAAAGTATTCGGCCCCCTTGAACCTTTCAACATTTCGCCATGTTTAAAGCTTCAAACATAAAGATTAAAAAAATTTTGTCAAGAATCAACAACAAGTGGGACACAATCGTGAAGTGGAACGAAATGTATTGGATAATTTAAACTTTTTTAACAAATAAAAAACTGAAAAGTGGGACGTGCAATATTATTCGGCCCCCTTCCGCCAATACTTTGTAGCGCCACCTTTTGCTGCAATTACAGCTGCAAGTCGCTTGGGGCATGTCTCTATCAGTTTTGCACATCGAGAGACTGGAATTATTGCCCATTCTTCCTTGCAAAACAGCTCGAGCTCAGTGAGGTTGGATGGAGAGTGTTTGTGAACAGCAGTCTTCAGCTCTTTCCACAGATTCTCGATTGGATTCAGGTCTGGACTTTGACTTGGCCATTCTAACACCTGGATACGTCTATTTGTGAACCATTCCATTGTAGATTTGGCTTTATGTTTTGGGTCATTGTCCTGTTGGAAGATAAATCTCCGTCCCAGTCTCAGGTCTTTTGCAGACTCCAACAGGTTTTCTTCCAGAATGGTCCTGTATTTGGCTCAATCTATCTTCCCATCAATTTTAGCCATCTTCCCTGTCCCTGCTGAAGAAAAGCAGGCCCAAAGCATGATGCTGCCACCACCATGTTTGACAGTGGGGATGGTGTGTTCAGGGTGATGAGCTGTGTTGCTTTTACGCCAAACATATCGTTTTGCATTGTGGCCAAAAAGTTTGATTTTGGTTTCATCTGACCAGAGCACCTTCTTCCACATGTTTGGTGTGTCTCCCAGGTGGCTTGTGGCAAACTTTAAACAATACTTTTTATGGATATCTTTGAGAAATGGCTTTCTTCTCGCCACTCTTCCATAAAGGCCAGATTTGTGCAGTGCACAACTGATTGTTGTCCTATGGACAGACTCTCCCACCTCAGCTGTAGTTATCTGCAGTTCATCCAGATTGATCATGGGCCTCTTGGCTGCATCTCTGATCAGTTTTCTCCTTGTTTGAGATGAAAGTTTGGAGGGACGGCCGGGTCTTGGTAGATTTGCAGTGGTCTGATACTCCTTCCATTTCAATATAATTGCTTGCACAGTGCTCCTTGAGATGCTTAAAGCTTGGGAAATCTTTTTGTATCCAAATCCGGCTTTAAACTTCCCCAAAACAGTATCTCAGACCTACCTGGTGTGTTCCTTTGTCTTCATGGTTCTCTCTGCGCTTTAAACAGAACCCTGAGACTATCAAAGAGCAGGTGCATTTATACAGAGACTTGATTACACACAGGTGCATTCTATTTATCATCACCAGTCATTTAGGACAACATTGGATCATTCGAAGATCCTCACTGAACTTCTGGAGTGAGTTTGCTGCACTGAAAGTAAAGGGGCCGAATAATATTGCACGCCCCACTTTTCAGTTTTTTATTTGTTAAAAAAGTTTAAATTATCCAATAAAATTCGTTCCACTTCACGATTGTGTCCCACTTGTGGTTGATTCATGACAAAAAATAAAATTTTTATATCTTTATGTTTGAAGCCTGAAATGTGGCAAAATGTTGAAAGGTTCAAGGGGGCCGAAGACTTTCGCAAGGCACTGTATATATGGGCATGACATTTTAAAACTTGGATATATGGACAATTTTTTTTAAGTCAATTTGCAATCTCATGCAGTAAATCAGACAACTACTGATACATTGGCAGCAGTATGGATACCAAAAACACAGAGGTACAGGGTATCTGTATAACACTCACACATCATGAATGTGGCTGTAGAACCTGGCATTGAGGGCTCCTATTTCCGATCCCACCAGGATGAAGGGTTTGGATATTTCAGCTGCCTGAAGGAGTCTGTGAAGATCATCTACCATCCTGCAAGACAACATCATCATCTGTTAGAGAACTAACCAGGGCGAGCTGCAAACGGGGCCAGAAGGAGCTTTATTTATTCAGCTACGGGGCCCCAAGACATGAGAGATGAGTATGCCATGGCACAATTAATCTCATTAATGTGTAATTTCTTCATAACTTGGTTTATGAGGCAAAAACATTCTTTCAACCAGAAGAAGTAAACTACATTAAATAATACAGTACTGTATTTTGTAGTCTCGTACTCATATTTTAAAACATTCACACACATACTACTACTTTTCTGAAACCAACAGAATTTCAGGAATGAAGCTAAAATGAGGGATCACCAACTTGAAAACCGAAACGCCAGAATCGTACCAAAACCCTCCACATTGTTACTTGTCCTCTATGGGTAGTTGCCAATATATGGGACAGACTAAATATCTCTGTCTAAAGGGGTTCAAATACTATTAGTGATTAATGAAAATAATAATAATAAATAATATTTTAATGCACTTATAAAGCGCTTTACAGTCTTAGAGAAGTGTCTCGCAAAGCACACAACTGCACTACTCAGTCACAGTTAAGATACATGTTTTAAATACAAATTTGAATCTAACTGAAAAATCAATAGGTCGATTTGTGATCTAAAACATGTTGTAAATTTTACAGCAGGTTGTGCAAAAGGTTCTGAAACATTGAACATGTGCATTTACATGTTGAGAAGCTTTCACTAAGTTCACCTGTATAAGTTACTGTAAAAGCAGTATAGTAGGCTTATCCTAAAATATCACCGAACTATTTGTGGTTAGTAATAATAATAATATTCTTGCCGTCCTGCAGTGGACACTCCCCAGGTTCTTTCTGTCTCTGTGGTTCCATTTTGAATCAGATGTTTGCTGAAGCCCAGTCCCATTCTGTCATATGCACAAACCTAAAGAGTGGGACAAAAATCACCAACTTAAATACCAAATACAATCCATATTCAAAATGATGAAAATAAATACTGGTTTTGATTATATCTACTCTAAATATTCATATATTATATGGTAGGATGTGCACTATTGCAAGGCATTACTTTAGCTTTACAGTGCTGTTGCAACTTAGTTGTGTGTCATCAAGAATGATCTGTGACTTCATTTGGGTTATGTTTCAGACAAACTATAAAGGGCAGGCTGTCAGACCAGAGCTTCTGCTACGCTGCTTTCTTGTTGAGGAGAAAAGATGTGGCAGTTATGAGAACAAGCATCTCTATAGGCCATTGACAACAAGGCAGCATTAGAGTGGTTGTTTAAACATGTATTTATTGGATTAGGACAGTGCCTGTTAATGAAGATACATGATTAAAACATGGAAGTAAACAACCCAGATTATAGCCATTGGCTAAACTCCATATGTAGTCCCAAAGGGCTGGGATAACTAACAACAATTATATCAACAAATTCATATTCATATGCACGTATAGTAATGAACACATGAAGGGATTCAGGTAAGAAATACTGTCCATGCTTCTCCTACATACTTATACTACAGTTTGACCCTCACCTTAGTAAGTGAAGAGAGATCCTTATGAATATGAAACCAGACATCTGAAGACATTCCAGTTGGAGCATCTAATATTACTATAAAAAAGTATAAACAGATTTATTTAAAATCAAAACAATATTAAAAATGAAATGTTCTTACCAACAGGTATTCCATTTCCTTTGCACAAAAGATGCATTGTCTGACCCAAGCCAATGTCAACAATCTGTCCTTCTGAATGAGTGAAACCACCAACACCAACATCATGAATAATATTAATAATGATGATGATAATAGTAATGTTTTTTGAATACCTTTTGGGAGGAGCATCTGGCGCTCTCTCTGAAGTGAGGCATAGTTGAGGAATGGAGGAACAATGAAGATCAAAAGCAGACACTTCCCCATGTTTATTATCCATGACCCAATGGAAAGTTTGCCTTTGGCTGAATTATCGTGTTGGGGTCGCTCCACGTTCTCCTTTAAGAAAGTAAAGTGCCGATTTAGGTAGTAACTACCAATTGTTTTGACTGAATATACTTTTGCTGGTTGTTACAATACTAACAAAAGTACCTAACTAATATCATCCTAGCATGGTCTTAGCCAATTATCGTTTAAATTTGTACAATGGTATGATAAGACCAGGCAATTATAATCCCCCTATCCCCATATGATAATATAGCCTGTTGCAATCAACCATCAAGTGGTTGAAGAGGTTTTTTTATTTTATTTTTATAAATGAATGAATGAATTATTAATTTCAAGCATGAGCATAAAACAATAACACAAATTAAATTCATCAAAGTTGTGGTATCCTAAACATTAAAGTAAATAATATATATTAATACATAGATTACATAATACATTAGATATATTTAAAATGAAATATCGCTCTTTGCTTGAAAGGGAGTGAGAAGAAAGTGGACTACTGATTTATATTGTTGACAGTAGAAATTAGAGAGCCCAGTGAGGTGCGAAGTGAATTTAACACTGCATTAATTACACTACTTTACCTAGCTATTAAAGGCATCAAGAAATATTACTTTTGGATTAAATTGTATATAATCTGAACATGTGTCGTGTGCCTTCATGTTTTATAAATACAGTCACAGTCTCTGGGTTGTTTACGCACATTCAATAGTCCATGTTTCTGATGAGCATATTTATAGACAGTTGACTGTAGGATTTTAATACATTAGAAGTATTTTGAGAGTAAATGTTAACGTAGCCTCACGTTACTGCTACTTGTTACACGGATGTGCGTAATAGTAACGTAACTATCTGTACTTCAGTAGCCTACTCGTTACCACTAAGCAAGGTGTCAACGTATTTCGGTATTCATTGAGACAAATAACGCTAAACATAACGCGTTAAGTTAGAGATCGAGCAAATGTGCGCTCAGACTAAACATTATCTTTACCTTTTTGTCCCCATCGACATGATCCTTGTTTATAGTTTGATTATCTGCTCGTCTGCGCATTCTGAAGCTGAGGCACTGAGGTTTACAGTCATAAAATATCCATCAGAGTGAATGAAACGGATCCATGAACGTACAACAGTAAACACAACAGCTTCCTGGTTGGACGGAAAGCGGTAAGGGACAACAGGCTGCGGCTTGTGGATGAGTTTCTTTGCTTTTTTGTGATTATTCAAATGCATAATGTATTCCTCATCATAGCCATTATATATTTATAATACACCGTTTGATATACTTAAAATACACCATTGAGTTGTATTATCAGGTCCAAATTATGTTTTGAAGGTATATATAAAGAGACCATCTAAAGTAATTACTATAACAATCCAGCTTTTGTTGCCAGAATCCTCCTGACTGTGACACAAGTGCCTGCTATGCACTGATTACTGATGCAATCCAATGCTGGAGTACAAACTGTGCATTACAGATGACTACTTATTTTTGAACCTTCTTTAATTCATACCCATGTCAATTTAAATAATTTCAATCAGCTGAATTTCACCTGACATGTGGGTCTCATTCTGCTCTCTGATGGGATAATCTGCTTGAACGTAAACATAAACCGTATGGACATCTTGTCCATACTATTTATGTTTTCTATTCTATTGCTATTCTAGTTTTAATACAAAATAACTCCACTTTAAACTTTTGCTCATAAAAGGCCACATAAGATTTTAATATGTTCACCTATTATTGTGGGACATATATAGAATATGTCAAAGAAAAATGTAAATATTACTTTGTTATATTGTACATTGTTATTTTAATCATTGTTATTATTATACAATTATGATGATCAGAATTACAATAAGTAATATGCAATTACAGTTTTATTGCAGTAAAAAGAGACAGTATAACAAACAGTGCTGGACTGACTATAATCAATATTTAATGCAGCAATTCATGAATTACATCTGGATAAAAACCTGTGCTACAAAATATAATTATTTTCTATTAATGAAGATAATGACAGGGCCTTTCATCATTTAATTGAGGGTGGACTGAAACAAAAACAAACAAACCTCCACCCACACATGCACAGCTGATGGTGGGTCAATACCTGACATTCATCATTTTGGAACAGACGCCTCTTTAATTACTGCGATGAATTCTACTCTGGGCTGAAACCACCAGTCACCTGCGATCCAAACACGTCTGTTGTTTAGGCTCGTCTCTCTGCTGTCACACATCAGACCTAATGCTTTGTCTTTGGAGCTTGTTTAAAGCTCAACTTAAATTTCAAAAAAGAAAAAAAAAGGAAAACAACAACAGTGTAATAAATTCCATGTAACTCTTAGTTACACCAGCGGTAAATATTCATTTGTGTGAAATATGTTTTCATTTAACCAAACAAAAGGCAACGTATGCATATTTTGCTTTGTGAAATTATAACTGATTAAATTCTAATTGTGTTTGCCCTTTCTTAATGAAAACTATTGTAAACATGCTTGGTTTGCTCAGTCAGTGGAATGACATTTAAAGAACATGCACTTTATTATTATTCCAGCAAGGTTTTTTTTTTTCTTCTGAGGCCATTAGTGACCTCTTTGCTCCACACAGCCCTGTCGGCTGTGTGGAGCAAAAGCCACTGCCTTAATGCCAGGTCACCTTGACACTATTTGTACCATGTCTGGAGGCAGTTCACATTTTTAAGGTGTTGCTTCTTCCCTCCGGCGCTCACATTCAGCAGACCCACATCCATTTGGACCGCCGTTTTCTGTCAGCATAGGGACAGGCAGAAAAGCAGCGCACAGGTTGAGTGGAAATAATACGCTGTTATTTTACTCTTCTCTGCTAAGTGTCTCAATACCTCGCTGCATAAAAAATATCCAACTTTAGATGGTGCAGCTTATGTACAGGTGCGCCTTATAGTCCAGAAGAAAGTGCGGCAAATATCTGTGTTTCTTTAACTGCGCAAAATGTACTTACCCAAGCCTTCTTTGTTAACAATACAATCATTTGCCAGTCCTACACAAGAAAGATTAAGTCCAAACTTAGACCAAAGTGTTGTTACTTTTTAGATGCTTTAGATATTGAGTTCAGGAACAGTGAAACTTTTTGTAGAATAGATAAAAAGCTAAAAAGATTATGACTAATGGTCACTTTCATAGTTGATCTACTTCAATTAATATCATCGATAGAATAAAAAACACACACATGCATTTGCGCATACACACATCCACACACGCACGCACACACACACACACACACACACACACACACACACACTAACTCTCTCACACATGAATTAAAAGATAATATTAGATAAAACCATAAAAAAGGAGGCTGAGTGTAGATAATACCAACCTCAGAAGCGTCATCCGAGGATCCGTCTGCACCAAGAGCAGAGAACCGCAGAGGAACATTTTATTTGTCCCCTCAAGGGACTTTGTCTTCTGCATTTGACCCATCCTGCAATGCCACTAGTGCATCTTTTTTTTGTATAGTGGTCGCCAAAGTACAGGAACCCACCTATTGTACATGTCTTTAGTGTGAGGGGAAACCGGAGCACCCGGAGGAAAAATATGCTGGTACAGGGAGAACAAACTCCACTCAGAAAAACCCTCGTGCTGAGGTGCGAGAGCTACTGTGCCACCGATGCTTCGTCACATATTAGAAAATTAAATTAGATCGCATCACTTGAATAAAAACATTTTGGATTACTCTTTCTCGTGTGTGCCACTGTGTAATGCGATGTATCTCCAAAGGCCGAACGTGCACAGAATACTCATATTGCTGCATGCCATTGTGCCTTGTATTTCATTGTTGTGCACCAGACAATGGCAAATAACCTTCTATCCATGGAGAGTAAAGTTTGGCGGTATGTACAGGAATCTCTGAATCATATCTCTTAAAAATGATGAGAATCTCTGGTAAATATTCCAAACCTCAACCAAGAACAGGCTCAGTGGAAACATGCATTACAAGGACAGCCTGTGTTTGTTTATCCTTGAGAATGGGATCAGATCACAAAATGAAAAATGTATGCAGAAGAAATGCAGGTGTTTCCAAAGGTGCTCTGACTCTTGTGCTTTTGTTCAAATTCAGGATATCTCATATTTGTCTGAGCCTCAGATGTTGAACATTTGCAGTAGGCACGGCCAGTATGCAACAAGAGTATACGGTCTCTGAAAAACAATAATGTCAGTACAACAGTTTTATTGCTATAACAGTCAGAACCTCAGCTTGTGTCTGTCAATACATTTCATAAGCAAGTAGTGAGTATTTATGTAATCTTTATTTATTAGTGCCATAGACCAGAGTCACAAAGCGCTTTACAATGGTGGGCATTAGAACTATAAAACATCAAACATTGCCCATTTTACTTTCAACTCAAAACAAATCCTTTCCAAGACAAGACTTATCCTCTGTTGTAATGAATTCAAGTTTTTTAACGAAGAATTAGAAATATACGAGAGCAGCATTTTCAATACTGTAGTTCTGAATTTTCCTGGATTTTCATGTATTTGTTGATATTTCACTGTAACACGATAGGGCTTCTGAGTCTTACTTGCAGTTATTTGTACACTGACTTGGCCCACTTTTTGTTTTATTTTTACTTTTTTTTATAAATGATGCAAACCTTTCCTTTGGACCACGCCTTTTGATAAAACAAGCTTCATCTCTGCAAATACCTCACCAGTCTCTTCATTTATTTATGTGAGAGCTGTGGGGAGTTCGGTGGGGGAAAAGTATTGGTCCTTCGTCTCTTGCCTCCATGCGGTGCTCATCGATTTCAGCCCCTCTCTGCTGAAGAGCACCATCAATCAATACAGTAACAAGTCTTCATTTAGACTTGAGAAATGCACTTTCCAGCTCAGTGGGCGCACAGTCCTGGTGTTATGAATGCAGCTACTGTTAGTGCTGGTTGAGTCCTTCCTTTGGCCTTGAAACTTATCTGACCAACAATATGTCTGGTTGTGCATCCCCTGATCAGCAGTATACAGTATGAAGTGTTCACTGGAAGCAAGATTATGTACACATATAATCTTTGTTTGAAAATGTTCATTATTCGCCCTATTATTTTTGCCAGTTTTGGGTCATATTGAAAGACAGGTGGGATTTGGTGGGATTCAAAACAAAGCAAAATATGGTATTATCTTCTGAATGAGAAAACACATTTTGAAAAAGTTTTATTATGTAAGAAACTTTGCAAAATATCATGGTACAGGTTTTTGCCTGCAATTGTATAAAGGCTTTTTAAATTACCTATAACATAATTTCACATAGTATATGATTATGTAAGGGGGTTATGCTGCATGGGCTAAAAGCATATGGAGTACTTTTTTTCATTTATTTACACTGAGGGATTAATTTATCCAGTGCTACAAAAGCTGACACAGGGAAGTACCATATCAGGATTAGTCTTTTGAAAATAAATAACGCCACTTGAACTATATCAAAAATCATTTGCTTTTTCAATGAAAACCCATGGGAGGTACAAACGCTGCACGTGTGGCCCATAGGACCATGCACAGGACCATGCACAGGACAGCGGCTCTTCCCCATGCCCACCCCTGCAGCTCAGCGGACGCTTGTATTTGGTATGGTCCGCTCCTCCCCGCGCTACGTCTCGTGAATGGTAGTTTCTATTGGGAGAAGGTCAAATGACTCCGCATGTCTGCTTCTGTGTACAACATCCCGCTTTGGTGTACGGCTGATGAAAACACTTCTGAAAACACCTCTGCGCTATCAACTTTAATTTGACTGTGACCGAGGTGGGAGTGCGATGTCTTCCTGAAAGTAAGTATCATTGACAATCCTGACATTTATTTCCCCCAAACCCTCCTCGGAGCTCACATTTTACCCACATAAGTCCTTTCCCGATTAAGATTTAATGTGTTTTAAGTGTAGTGTTTCCATTGAGCCTGTGCGGGATATTTGCAACAACTCTCCCAGGATGCTGTCGTTTCCAGAGCAGAGGTGGAGGCAGGGGGGCTCTGAAGCCTCTTTAAACACAGCTTGGAGCTATTTTGGTTCTGACATGATGATGATGTGCCACT